CTACTAAAGAGTCACTCTCTCTTATCAAAGCCTAGGACATCCAACCAGCCCCAATGGCTAACATGAGATCTCAAAAAGGAGGTAAATAAAAAAGAATGGCTGTGGAAAGTGGTTCGCGAAAACAAGGATAACGCAGCATTTACAAAATATAAAACTCAAATGAACAAGGTGAAGGGCTTGATTATCAACGGACCACAATATTTCCAGAGTAATTTGCTCCACCAAGACGTTAGGAAGCCAAAATTTCTCTGCTGTTATTTGTGCCATCTCAGGAACTTGAATGCTGTTATGAGAAATGACGGCGGTTTGGAGATATCGGACAGCAAAAATAAAACCGAGCATTCTTCTCGGTTTTTCCAGTCTGTTTTTACAAGGGAGGCATTTTTCTTCACACCTAGTTATAAGAGCATGTGAGACCCGATTATTAAAAATACCGTTTCAAAAGAAGCAATTTTCTAAGAACTACAAGCTTAAGGATTGTAAATCTTCATGTCCGGACGATACCTCTGGAAGAATGCTCTCTCAGCCTGCTCGGGAGTTGGTAAAACCTCTATCCCTTCTGTGCACGGAGTCGTCTGATGCTGGGATCCGTCCCACAGACTGGAAAACGGACCGCGTTACATCGATTTGCAAAAGCGGTAGTCGTGCTGCAGCGACGAAATACAGACCTGTCGGCCTAACATCGATTTCATTCTACTTTTTCTGTTTATATGGTAAGGATGATAGGCAAGGCCTTTGAAAACCCTATTTATTACATGTAATTTGGTTAGGTGTAGTCATACACGAGCATTGAGAATTGCCACTATTAAAATAGTACGTGCGTGATCTAAGTATCGTTGTTAAAAACGAGCGGATTTTCTGGGGTTCAGGTGGGATTCAGTCCATGTTCAGATGGTCGATGGGAAACAAGGGACAGAAGTAATCGTCCAAGCGTTTCTTGAAGAGCTGCAGGGATCCCGCCCCCACGACTGATCAAGGTAAGTCATTCCAGTTTTCCAATACTCTCTACGCCAAAAATTCAGAGCGAAAATTCGACCCGAATATTTCGTGAGCAGCCTCAACGAGTTACCACAAAGATTGGGCAAAATGTGCCACTGAAACATGCCCTACAAGCTCAGTCCATGTTCGAGGCCATGCAGGATAAAACCACCTCTTTGCTGCCTGTTACACAATGGGGTTAAACTAAGTCAGTTCAGTCTTTCCATGCAAGATTGGTTTTTTAAACCCTCTACCAGCTTTGTTGCACGGCATCATAATTTTGAGGTATGTTTGGTCCTTTGCTAGCCATAGTCGCCATGCTTGTGTGCCATATTCTAGACGGGGCCGAACAAAGTTGCCGTAAATTCTCCCAAGAGGCTGCTTGTCAAAGGTTGCAAATACACTGTAGATCACATGGATTACTCCCATAGCGGTTTTTGCAGCCTTGCTACACCGCAGCGCTAGTTTCTTGTTGCTCTGTGTCCAACTAACTAGATACTTCTGCAAATGTTCTGCCGGAAGAGCAATGCCTTCCAGGCAATGTTCCCTCACGCTATCATTTGAGTGACAGTTGGTTTGAGGCAGATGAAGAAATTCAATATATATGAGGGATATAGGCAGAGCCTTGTGAAACCCTATTTACAGATGCACGTATGAAAACATGCACATATTTACATTACAGTTATGCCAGTCATTGATATCCAGCAAATATTTTACCATCAAGCATGAAGTTCTTTAGTCTTTTTCTGAAGGTCTCATCGTTTTCTGCCAAGACAACGAAATTCGGCAATTTGTTTCGTCCGTCAACCATCCGGTGGGATAGGAATTTGGTCCGCGCTTCAAGTTTGACATGTTTTATCTTCAGTTTGTATTGGTGCCCTCGAAGATTGTTCGTTCGCGCCAGTTCGAAGAAATCGTCAAATTGAAGAGCACAGTCTAGCCCTCGGACGATCTTAAGGGCCACGATCATATCCCCTCGCTATTGTCCATAAAAGAGAGGAAATATTTTTAATATTTCCAGGCGTCTCTAATAAGGTTAACAACCTTATCCGCTGACCAGCTTGGTTGCTCTTCGTTGTACTTTCCTCAGCAAAGTGTAATCTTGTTTCGATTAGGGACACCATGCCTAAACCCAATATTCCAACATTGGTCGAACAAATGCTACAAATACTCGGCCGAAAAGTTTTCGTCAAAATTAAGGAAGGGTCTCCTTATCGGCCTAGTATACCAATGGCCTTCTATGATATCTTGGCGCAGTGAGACGACGGTTTGAGAGTTGACGTCATCCAAACAACGAGGTCTCCGAACTCATTAACTGACTCGAGTTGTTGACCTGTTATAGAGTAGTGAGATTAAAATCTCAACGGCCTCCTGTTCCTCGATCGTTATCGGATAAGTTGGCATTGGTTAAGGCTGGGGTTAAGGCACCACTCATCACGTCGGTTCTGCGAGTGATTCAGATTGTTTTATAACTGTAGGGAGTTTTCCGGCTTTTCTATTGATTTCCACAACTTTAGATCATCGGCAAGCATTACGCAATCGCATTTCAGATAGTCCAGGCAGTCGTTCACATACATTAAGACTGGAAGCGGACCCAGTACACTTCCCTGCTGGACGCCATTGTGAACGGACGCCTACTCCGATTTAGCGTTACCGATACACACACATTAAGATCAGTACGTAAAAAAATGGCTAACCATTTGGACAGATTTCCATTCACGTCCATTTGACGCAGTTTAGATTTTAGTTGTCTGTGTGAACCACTGTCAAAAACCTTTCTAAAGTCTATATACACGGTGTCGACTGATAAGCCCATTTCGATTGATTTCGTGCAGCTCTGCACGGATACTAGCGGGATGGTAAAAGAGGAGCGACTCCCTTCGAAATCTATGTTGATGCAAACCGTTTAAGTTGTTTTCCTCAAGATGCTGCATTAGCTCCGTTTTTATAAACTTTTCCATCAGTTTGCAACGGATTTTTGTGAGACTCACTGGTCTGAAACAGTTTTTTTGTATATGTATATGTATGTATATTGAAGGGTTACAGGCAGAGCCCTTGATGACCCTATTTATGTACAGTGCTTTCGCAGATTCATACTCAAAAATAAAATAAAATTGCAGGAATTTAAAATGCGATTGGCTCACAGTTCAATCGTAATCATAAGGTAGTGCATGGGGTCACTGCAAATTGGTGCGGAAGATTGTATATGACAGATTTTACAAAACTGGCTGTGCATAGTCATGCTGTACAAGCCGATTTCTGTCGAAAAATAGACTAGCAAGTTTTCTTTTAAACACACAAACTGTGTCAGCCGTCACGATCTCGCTTGGAAGCGAGTTCCACGGTCTGACAACCCGCTGGCTGAATGAAAATTTTCGTCGGTCTAAACGTGTTCGCTCATCCCCGACTTTGAATGCATGGCCGCGTAGTTGGTTTGCACGGGCGAACTCTAAGAAATCCTCTGCTCTTAATGAGCAACCCTGGCCGCGAACAATCCGGAACGTCCACAGTAGACTGCAGTTTATTTGTCTATAAGAGAGAGGGAATAGACCAAGCAAATTCAGCCTCTCCTGATAAGATAAATGCTTTAGACCGTCGACCATCTTTGTCGCTCTGCGTTGCACCTGTTCGAGTAAGTTGATATCCTTCCTCATCCATGGTGAAGCTGCTGGCATTCAATACCCTAGATGAGGTCTTACAAAGACACCAAAGAGTCTTTCGAAGAGTTCGGGAGGAAATATTTTAAATGCACGTCTGATCCAGTGTAGAGTACTAGTTGCCTTCTGGACCATCTTTCTGCAGTGTTCTGATGGCGATAGATTTGTGGTCGTCCATACGCCCAGGTCTCTGTGTCTTTCCACAGTTTCTAACCTCGTCCCGTCAATATAGTACTGGTGTTTGGGAGAGGCATTGCGGCCGGTGTTCAGGTGCAAAACCACGCATTTGGACACGTTAAACTTCAAAAGCCATCTGTTCGACCAAGCGCACAGTTTGTTGATGTTCGATTGCAACTTCTCTGCGTCATCATCACACTTGACTTCACTCCCTATTTTTATGTCATCCGCGAACATGAGAGCCTCGCAATTCACTTCGCTGATGCAGTCATTAACATAAATCAGGAAGAGTACTGGGCCTAAGACAGAACCCTGTGGGACACCACTTTCCACCTTTACCCATTCCGAGGTAGAATTACTAAAGACGACTCTTTGTAGTCTGGAGGACAGAAAACTTCTGATCCACTTAAACATTCTCCCTTGAATCCCTACATCCCAGATCTTTTGCAAAAGAAGCCTGTGTGGGACACTGTCAAAGGCCTTCTTGAAGTCAAAAAATATGACATCTACTGGAAAACCCTTATCGGTAGCTCGTGTCCATTTCTCGTGCGAGTAAAGAACACTCGTTAAGCAGGAGCGCCCTGGACGAAAGCCGTGTTGGGCATCGCACAATATTTTGTTCTGTTCCAGGTATTTCATCAAGTGTCTTTTGATAAAGCGTTCCATTATTTTACACGCGATGCAAGTAAGACTGTCAGGACGATAATTTCCGCAGTCAAGTCTTGAGCCTCCTTTATGGATCGGAGTAATCAGTGCGCACTTCTATTCTTCCGGTAGCTCGCCGTCTTCAAATGACTTTTGAAATATTGCGGATAAGGGTTTGCACAGTTCATTAGCAAGTTTGCGAAGTGCTATGGCGGGAATTCTATCTGGGCCAGGCGATTTGGCAGGTTTCAGCCGGAGTAGCTCGGCCCTAACAATGGTAGATGAAAAGAGTGGTTCCTCGGTTAAGGAGGGTAGGGAGGGGATAGGAGGGGGGAGGGTACTGGGAGGAGAGGTTGTTTGGCGAATGGATGGATGGGCAAATATAGCACTAGGTTCTCGGGTGAAGACGAACTGAAAGAAGTCGGAAAGGAGGGGCGCTTTAACCTGGTCATCAATCTCCACTTTTCCATCTGCAGACCTGAGGGCAGGGATTAGCTCCTGAGTCCTTTTAGTACTTCGTATATAACCATATAGAATTTTCGGATGCTCCAACGAATTTCGGAGTATGTTCAGTTCAAACTTCTTTCGCAGCTTCGAGGCCTCACTTTTACAGACGTTTCGTTGCCGCTTATATTCCTGTAAGTGTTCGTCGGAGCCAGTTAGTCTGTAACGCCTCCACAGACGATTCCTTTTTCTGAAAGAGGCCTTCAAGTCGGGGTTTATCCATTTTGGGCGGTTTGTGATTGTCTTCCTTCTAAGAGGACAATTGGAATAAACAATCTCTTTCAGTAAGGAACTGAAAGTATTCCAGTTATTGTTTGCTCGACCATGCAGTTCAGTCTCCCATGATATAGCTGCCGCTTCCCTCCTCATGAGAGAATAGTCACCTTTCCAAATGTTTCTCTCCCACCTCTCGGTGTGGCGGGTTTGGAAAACAGTGAGTACTCGAAGTAGAGCGTGATGTGGTCGCTTGACCCTAATTGCTGTCGGTCCTGCAGGTCTAACACGTTTTCCTCCTCTCGGGTAAAAATAAGATCAAGGCAGTTCGACTGCTGCCCTTCCCTGACCCGTGTTCCAAAGGTAACATTCTGGCAGAGAAGTTTGTCCGTTGCCCATTGTAGTAGTTTGTGATTAAAGCTGTCTTGTGGCCCTTGTGCAGTCCACGTTAGCCAATCAATGCCAGGAGCGTTAAAATCCCCAACGATAAGGAAGTCTTTCTTCTCGCTAGCTTGGTACAGTTCGGATATGAGCATGAGAGGACCGACAAGATTTCTAAGGACACAGAGGCAATTTGGCTGACTATAAAGGCGCGGGGCTCTCAGTCCCTCGAAGTCTTAACTATCTACCCGCCCCCCGCAGGCGGATCCCGACCCAAATATTTGTCTACTGAAAAGCATAAAAGAGATCGCCAGCCGACCAGACGTTGTTATCATGGGGGATTTTAATGCAGCATGCATTCAATGGAGCGATATGCATGCGAAATGCTCGATGAATACCTTCGATTACCATCTACTTAACAGAACTCTAGAAGCTCTACTCAAGCAACATGTCCTGTTTCCAACTAGAGCTCGTGGAGGGCAACAGGCCAGTTGTCTGGACCTCGTTTTTACCAAAGATCCTGACAGTATAGACGAGGTGTACTACCTACCCCCGCTCGGTCGAAATGATCATGCAGTGCTTTTATGCGAGTACTTGCTGTATTCTGAACCGTGTACAAACGACAATACGAGGACAAATATATGGAAAGGGGACTTTCGCCAAATGAGAGCTGAGGCATCACAAATAGACTGGGATGTTCTCTTCTCCGGAAACGTTAACGAGGACTGGAATCTATTCAAGGATCGTTTACTGCATCTAATGAAGAACCACTGTCCCTTATCAAAGCCTAGTACATCCAACCGCCCTCAGTGACTAACACGAGAACTCAAAAGGGAGATCAACAAGAAAGGTAGGTTATGGAAAAAATTTCGCGAGAACAACAATAATGCAGCGTTTACAGAATACAAAATTCAAAGAAATAAGGTGAAAAGCCTGATTTTCAGGAGGCGACGGGATTTTGAGAGTAATTTGCTCCACCGAGCCGTTAAAAATCCGAAATTGCTCTACAGCTATTTGCGGAAAAGCACACGTAACGGGAATCCCATTCCTGTTATGAGGGGTGATGACGGCTTGGAGATATCGGACAGTACAAATAAGGCTGAGCCCTTTCCTCAATTTTTCCGATCCGTTTTCACAAGAGAAGCAGACTTTACCCCATCTAATTCTGAGAACATGAGAGATCCCACTATCGAAAATATTGTGTTTCGAGAAGAAGCGATTTTGGAAGAACTGAAAAACTTGAAGGAATGTAAATCTCCCGGTCCGGACGAGATTCCAGCAAAGCTGCTCTTTGAACTTGCCCAACAGCTGGCCAAGCCACTATCCTTTCTGTGCCAGAAATCGTTTGATGCTGGAATTCTTCCCACAGACTGGAAGACGGCCCACATTACACCTCTTTACAAAAGCGGTAGTCGTGCTCAGGCGACAAACTACAGACCCGTCAGTCTGACATCAATCTGCTGCAAAGTGATGGAGAAAACAATCAAAAAGGAGTTGATGGCTTACTTGGAAACCCACAACCTCTTGTCCAATACACAATATGGTTTCCGTAGGGGAAGATCATGTGTTACGAACTTGCTATACACAATGCAAAGTTGGGCACGAGCACTGGACGCAAAACACACCGTGCATGTTGCCTATATTGATTTTCGGAAGGCGTTTGACAGTGTTCCGCACCAGCGTCTCCTACACAAGTTGAGAATTATGGGCATCGGTGGCAAACTTCTCAAATGGATCGAAAATTTCCTTGTCGGCCGCTCCCAAATTGTCTGCGTAGAACAACAGCAATCAAGGTGCACATTCATAGAGAGTGGGGTCCCACAAGGCTCGGTGCTCGGACCAACTCTCTTTCTCTTGTTCATCAATGATTGCGTAGATGGGTTTGACTGTGATTGTGCCATGTTTGCGGATGACATAAAAATCTGGAAAGTCATCCAGAATGCTGCCGATGAGACCAACTTCCAAGAAAATCTTTGTCGGTTGGACGAGTGGTCCCGAAGATGGCTCTTGTCCTTCAATTTGAACAAATGCACCATTATGCGCCTCGGAAATCAGAGCCCTAGAACTCGGCAATACCATCTGAACGGAATGCCCCTCCGAGAAGCAGAAACTCAGAAAGATCTCGGAGTTTGGGTTGCAGACAGCCTAAAGCCTTCTACACAATGCTGTAAGGCGGCCAAGGCCGCAACGTCAATGCTATATGCCATCAAGCGGGCATTCGTAGTTTTCGATGAGGACTGCTTCACCAAAGTCTTCGGCACGTTTATAAGGCCCCATCTCGAATATGCAATTCAGGCCTGGATACCGTGGACGCACCAGGATTACGATCTGCTCGAAAGGGTGCAGAGGCAAGCCACAAAATTAGTAAGAGCTCAAAATGCACTGCCATACCAGATCCGCTTAACTAACCTTAATCTCTATCCTCTGAGTTATAGGCAGTTGCGCGGAGACATGATACAAACTTTCCGTATCGTGCGCGGCTTGGATTGTGCCCTTCGGTGCGATGACTTTTTCCAACTCGCCAATACAACTCACCTCCGGAGACATCCCTTCAAGCTACGTGTGCCACAGGGTAAACTGAATGTGAGAAAATATTTCTTCTCCAACCGTGTCGTGGAACCGTGGAATAACCTGCCCGAGACGGTTGTTATGTCTCAATCTGTGGAGACATTTAAATGTCGCCTTGACAGATATATGCTGCAGTAACAAGCGGACTATGTGACTTTTTAACCATGTGACTAGTGACATATGTGAATCAATGTATGCATTCACTTAATGCTGTAATTTCTTCACATTTTTGCTTGTTTATCGATTTTTTTATGTACAACTAAGGAGTTCAAAGGCGTAAGCCTATTTCCCTCAAATACACTGACTGACTGACTGAAGTCATTCCGCCTTGGCTTAGTACCAAAGATACCTTCATTACAGATGAGTCAGGCAAAGCAGAAATGTTAAATTCTTTCTTTGCCAAACATTTCACCATTGAAACTGACCCAATTCCTTTAATTTTTACGTCGTCTGATGCCTCCCTCAGCATTATTAATTTTTCTCCTTAAGGTATTCAAAAACTGATAAGCCATCTTCCTAACTCTCACTCAGTAGGTACGGACACTATTCCAAACTCTTTGATAAAACAGCTAAGAGCATTTCCTCCTCTGTTTAGCAAAATCTTTTCAGTATTCCTCGTAAATGGCTTCTTACCTGACTATTGGAAAACTTCTATTATTATTCCTGTATTTAAGTCTGGCTGTCGTTCTGACGTTCAGAACTATCGAGGTGTCCATAAAACACCCTCTCTCGCCGAAATCTTTGAAAAAATTATCGCCGTAAAAATTACCGAATTTTGCATAGCCAATCAAGTTATTAGCCCTTCCCTGCATGCTTTTTACCAGAGCGCTCTTGTGAAACATGTCATCTGTCGTGTCTCAATCTACTTACCTCTCTTCGTAATGACCATCTTTCTGTTGTCGTTATTTATCTTGATCTTAGTAAAGCCTTTGATAAAGTGCCACATAAAAGACTCTTGGTTAAATTGGAAGCTATGGGAATACACAGTCCACTAATAGACTTTCTCGAGTCATACCTGTCTAATCGTAAACAAAAGGTTTTGGTGAGATCTTCACTTTCCAGTGAAAGTCCTATTGTGAGCGGTGTCCTACAAGGTACCGTTTTAGGTCCTCTTTTGTTGTTGCTTTACATTAATGATATCTCGGCAGCAGTTAAATATTCTCAATCATTTATTTATGCCGATGATCTCAAATGTGCATATTCTTTCAAAAAATCTACGAGCCTTCATTGCCTGGAGCAAATCCATGCTGACTTGCTTGCTCTCTCAGCTTGGAGCTCAAAATGGCTAATGGAATTCTCTCCGTCTAAATGTCGCTAGATGTGTTTTGGACCTGAGAGGCTACCCCAACCAGTGGTTTTTCAAGGCACACCTCTGACTGAATGTACCACCATCAATGATTTAGGTTTAAGCTACACTAGTAATCTTGACCTCTCACAACACGCTGACAGAATTACAGCCAAAGCTGCCCAGATTTGTGGCTTTATTTCTTACAAATTCTATCTTCCTGAAATTAAATTATTGCTCTATCGTATGTTTGTACTGCCTATTCTCGAGTATTGTTGCCCATTCTTTGGTTTGATGAGCGAGGCTAGTTGTTTAAAAATTGAAAATGTCCAAAGACGTTTTTCTAAGAAACTTTTAGATAAGTAACATCCCAATATCTCCTACTCAGGTAGATTCCAGCTAATTAACCTAAAATTTTTATGGGTTCGAAGACTACGAGCGGGCTTCTGTCTCCTCTTTCGCATTAATCATAGTTCAAATTTTCCTCGGATTTCAGCACTAACCCCTAGTAGTCGCCCATACAATCTGCGCGACTCGTCCTTGATTATACCTCCTCCAGCGTCCTCCACCTCTAAGCGCTCCCTTTTTTTCGCTTCCAGGTATACTTTCCTCTGGAATAACCTTCCAATAAATATAAGATCTTCAGAAAATCTGCACACCTTTATGAGAAGGCTGCGCCTTTATCTGAATACTGACTCGATTAAACTTTTATTTTCCTCATCCTTCCCAGACAACATTTTCTATGACACTGAGAAAGGGCCACCGGGAATTTAGTATGCCGCCATTAAATTTCCGTATCTGTTGACATTTCCTTCCTTTATGAGTAGTCTCGCTTCCTTAGATCTCTCACCAGAAATGTTAATTATTCCAATTTTTTAGTTCATGCATCGTGCCCTCACAGAATGCGCTCCATCGATGCTCTTGGCGAAACCTTCTGTATTCGCCATGTACTAGTAGTCCGGTCGCATTTCCCTTGCCCAATCCTCGGATGGACTCGGATGAATGTAACCGACCGCATCTGGGTTCCTACTGTCTCGAGACGCGTTTTGATTGTGCCCTCACAGAATGCGCTCCATCGACGCTATTGGCGAAACCTTCTGTATTCGCCATTTACTAGTAGTCTGGTCGCATCTCCCTTTTCCCATCCTCAGATGGACTCAGATGAATGTAACCGACCGCATCTGAGTTCCCATCGCCTCGATCGAGACTGGTTTTCAATTTCGCCACTTATTTGCCTTATTCAAGGCCACATACAGGCCAGTCCTGACCGACCCGCCTTCTTATCCCTTCATGAAATCCGTTATACAATGTCATATACAGCTGACATTTATTTCGGCCGTGTTGATGCCCGACTGTAATCCATTCTATACCGCCACATGCAGGCCAGTCCTGCCCGTGATTTTCTGTTTCTATTTTTTCGAGGTTTTTTGTTCTCCAGTAAAATTAAACCAATCACTTTTAAATTTTTGCATGGAGTTTTTTTCACCACTCGCTTATCATTTTTCTTAACGGACTTCTAATGCCAAAAACTATGTCTTGCACTTTGTACAGATTTTGCCTACCTCGTCAAAAATTCACATGTGAATTTATTTTTACTTGCTTTGATAGACCCCGATGGGTCTTCAATAAAATCATTAAATTAAATTAAATTGATTAAATTAAATTAAAGCAATTCGTATTTCCTGTCTCAATTCCTTAAATTTGGCATTCTTAATAAATATTATCAAAATGCGTCAGCTACAACAATTGATGACTGTCCGACGAGACGCTGTTCTCACAAAAGATTCATTGGACATTTGCCTGAACAATTGTTTATGTACAGATTCCTGTTTACAGTAGTTTGTTGCCCGGTGGCTTGCTCAAAAAAGTGCTTCGTGTCATGGATCTTTGTGGCTCAAATGCTGGCTCCAGATACTGGGATGGAGGGAGAAGTTTAGGAGATCACCGGTGGAGTGCGACGGGATAGTTTGGTCACCTGAAGTTTCACACACGCTTGAATGTGAGCAATGACAGATAGGAGTTGCATTACCGGACTAATTTTCAACTATTTAAAGACTTCAATATGGGAAGTTATGTTGGTCACTGCTGATCACCCTCTCTTTGCGTCCACTATGCACGCGGATGCTCATTTTACCCACATTCTTTCGCACATCCAAAATAAAAGTATCCATACTCTTCTAGATCTTTCACAGGTGATCATGAGTCATTTGATAGGAATCCATTAAAACAGGATAAGTTTATCTAAAACTGTTGACCCAAATTTTTACGAAAGTTTTATTTCCCAGCCTCCGTCCACTGCAAGGGCTATAGCGCTGCAGTAGCTTTGCATTCTCCTTCTTGTTCTCTTACTTATCCTCTTAATTTCTAAGGACTGGGACCCACCTGTTGCTTGAACTGGATCTCAAGCCAATAAACAATAGTCGCAATTTAATTTCTGGATTTTAATAGGCTGAAATTCGGGCGATGAAATCAATGTCGCCAGCTCTGCGTGCTAAAAAAAGGAAAAAAATCTGCTAGGGAAAATTTAAAGACCACCCTCGAATCCGTTTTCTACTCATTCCGGCGTGCGAGCGTAGGTCGTGTTTGGTCGCTCCCTTCACCAAACGAGTCTTCTCAGCGTACGTGTGTTGAGTTCCTTGTTTCACACTGTAATTTACCTGTTGCTTGTACACGTTTTGGTGGAGTTGAAGACAGGTGCTCCCAGAATTTCTATACCATCCTCACCCTAAGGGTAAAAACGCATTGAAGTGAACCGGAGGGACGAGTACGAGAAATTCGGCATCTTCGGGACCAGCTGGCAATTGCCAGCTGGTCCCGAAGATGCCGAATTTCTCGTACTCCTTAAGGAGTGGGTACTCAAACAGCTTCGTCAGCAGCTGTCTCCGCACGCACCCATGGCGAACAAACGCAGGAGAGCCACCAACACTCTGGCACCCTCCATCGTATATAAAGGATGTGTCAGAAACAACGGGACGTATTGCTGCAGAGCTCGGCGTGGGTATCGCTCACTGTCCGACAGCTGCCATGCGCACCAAAATCATGCAAACGAAGGGCCGACTAGACGCAGGAGGACAATCTCGTGTCGTTTATCAGATTCTATGCCGTGACTGCCCTGACCATTATACAGGACAGACCGGATGACATTTACCTCGCGAACAACAACATCACAAACGGGTAGTCCGGACAGGCGACCCATCGTCTCAGGTTTTTATTCACAACCGGGAGGAAGGCCACAAATGCAACTTCACGAGTGCGCGGATAATGGCGCGAGCCAGCAATAAGACAGTACGAGAACTGTTGGAGGCATGGGTGTTTGACACAAACTTAATCAACGGACACGTTTATATGTTCCCCTGCTGTCACGTGCTCCGTTCCCGCGGCCAAGAGACGAGACTCAATTCTCAGCCAAGGGCGCACGCAGTCACGCCGCCGTGGGGGCTGCGTCGACTCAGCCTTGTAGTGAACACCATCCCCTCCTTTGTTTAACTACAAAAATGCCCATTTGACGCCGCACTATCACAGTCCCTGGTGATAACCTCCTGCACTAGACCGAAAGCCCAGACTAATACACAGAATGTCCAACTGGTCGCGCGTTCATTTTCCTTGCATACAAAGATTTTCTACGATATGTTGGTTTTACAAATTAAATTTTGTTTTGAATCGTTTCTGCATGTTTTTTTTTCATTAAAAGTAAAATAACGACATGTGGGTAGTCGTGTTCGTCACTGTATGCTTTGCGAGCATCGTCAGGGTAGTAGTACAGCAACGACAACGCACTACATGCTTGTGAATGCCATTGTTTCGCATAATTTCCATCTGGTCGTTTTCCTACTGGGTCATAAGTAGTCACAGCCAGGACTTCTAATCTAAACCTGAATTACTTAAATAAGCAGCACTATCCAACAGAAAGGACGTCATTCTTTGGCATGATAACACCAAACCGCATTCGGCAAGGCATATCAAACAGATAATAAATGTTGGCTGGGGATTTTTCTCCTCCAACTTACTAGTTTCCAAAAATGAAGTTCGGAGATATTTTAAGGTGTGTGTACACCTCAGTCGAAACCCGTCAGGGATGTCGCTAAGGCATAATTTGTTGTTGTTATCGTCTCCGGCGATAGTTTTATGCGAGTTAAAAAGTTTGGGCCAGCGTTCAGGCGGTTACGATGATCGACTAGAATATTCGCCTCCTTTCTGAAGAAGTGCCACGATGCTGTAAACGTAGAACCCGAGCACCATGTTTCTTTTGCAAGCGCACCTGGTGGTAACGCCCGTATTCTAAGCTGGCGGATGCTTACTTGTTGGTGAACTCTCATCTTTCCCTAAAGTACTTAATACAATTAATCAAACAGTTATTTATTTCCTTCAGGCCACCATACGAAAACAGTCGGTCGTTTCTAATGAAACTGAAAGACCTCAAATTCATCAACAAACCCAAAGTAGAGCCGGAACGGACGCAGTTGCGTATGTTTTGTCGTCTGTTTTACCTGCCCTTCTTAGTCCTTGATCGAGTTCGAAGTTTTTTGCAGACCGCAGAGCAGACAGCTGCACCCACCGAATTTGAGTCTCCGCCCGAAAACAGTCGACATATTGAGTTGGTCAGTAGCCTTTTAGTGTCCTTTGATCTATTTTCTCTCCTCCGTTCATCTTATCTAGTCACCTGGCATTTATTCTCGATTGCTCCCTAAAGATCCAGGGCACAGGGCTAAGGCTGCTCTTCCTCTTGCGACGTATCCGCGCATCTGCATCTTCGTTCATTTTATTCATAGGTTTCATTGTTACTGTCGCGCGCTTCCCTCCATGCCTGGTCGGAAATTGTAGCGTAATATAAACAGTTTCGTAGGACATGACAAAGATCACGTGTTCGCACTCGTCCCTGTGTAACCCATGTATCTTGGTCTTTACTGCAGGAAATCTATGTCCCTACAGAGGGACCTGAATCGTCTGTGATGCTCACTGCAGCTGAACAATCTGATTCATTGTCGCCGTCTTCGTCCTCTTCATCTAGTGAGTCGGACGCAGAGTCTAAAAATGGAGATGATCAGGTGAATCTTGAAAAATTGAGAGTGCCGTGCTCCAGCAAACGACCAAAAATTGAGGAAGTGAAGGGTGAGACTGAGAAATAATTGCCGTGACTGTCTATCGTTGGCCCTCTTTTATACCGTGGTACTACCTGTCCTCCCGTTCTGGACGCGTCTACACAAACGGTCTTTCTCCAAATTTGCAGCTGCCGAGGATTTTTCCACGGCATCTTGTGCGAGGCATCGGGCAAGCTCTCCTACCGTGCCCAGAGGACCTCTACCCGTGTTTTTGAACCGCGCCTCCTGCCATTCTTTCAGAACTCCTGGATTTGTAACCCTTTTCCGTGGTTCCTATGTACACATTGGTTATATTTGTCCAATTTGTCAAACTTTGATTACCTGCGGTCCAAAGTTCGGAGGCAGATGTGTAGCGTATCAGGTGTAAGGGAAAATGAAGCTGACTGATAGTTAATGTCAAAAAGAGGGGAGGGAGGTAGAACTCTTAGAAACATCTCATAGCCTTGTTGACTTTAACATGCAGACCGGCGTACAATGTGAGGTCTCCGTTGACGAAATATTATGCTTTCCCGTGAAATCAGAACACTCGACCGATCACTTAGTGTTGCAGCCTACATCCTTGCAAATTGATACCAGTAGACTTTACTTAACAGGGCATGTAGTGATTTGCTTATTTACTAGAGATGGTTAAAAAGTATGGACGAAAAGTCATGACACATCTGCAACTCGAGATCTATAATTTACAAGTCTGCCCCGAATGACACGGACTGTGGTTCGAAGTAAGTCACCTACTTTCTTTAACTTAACCGATTGATAACGTCCTTACGGATTCTAATTGACACCAGCCCCCTGCTTGGTGGTCTCTATAAATGCCTCCATTCTTGCTCAGAGGCTGACATTGTGCAGATCAATTATGAATAAAGTTCGCACCACGTACGTGTGTGCATTTAAGACAGTCAACCTGCCAGAAATTTGAAGATACCTCACTGTCCAGCTGGAAATTACACCCTCGAAACATATATGCCCATGAGCCTGCTCGAGTTATAGTTCTCTGGGCCTCAATCCATCAGAAAGTGCAACGACCTCCACTCTCCATATTCGGGGCCGCGATTTTGCCTAGGCAAAGTAGTTAGCAGTGCGGAAAGCGTGCGGATGATCACTGTTTCTGATGTCAATTTCGGCGAGCCAAACTGCCCAAGTCCACACGGATGACAAAATTCGGCGGCTAGTGACTCGATTGCGTGTGATGAGCATGGGAGCTGCTAATTTTGACCGGCAGGCAGACGGACTGATGCACTCGGGAGCCGCCAATTGTGATAGACATGTAGTGGCCTAATCTGATAGTTCGACCGTCGCATCCGACGATGTCCACCGTATGCTCCACTGCAGGGTGGGAGCAAGGACGGTGGCCTGCGCGTGATTTACAGTGAGGGTGGATTTGCACAGCATCTACCACACTCTCCTCCCCCACCTGGACCCGATGTCAAGACATAGTGAAGAAGACCGAAGACGGGGGAGAGCGCAGGTAAATGGCACGGTCGAACCCGCACCTTGGTGATCCATACAACAAATAACCAGGTTTCTGACCAACAGCCGAGAGAATGGAGGTTGGTACGGTCTAGTACTTGCATCCCATAAATACTAAAACACCTGGGAAGTCTACCATCCTCATCTTACTTCGTATCTGGTGATGGACTCGAACGAGAATCCGAAACTTCGGTCTAGTAGAGCTCTTGTTCCAGCGATCATCTCTCCTTTTTCGCGATTATTTCCTGGATCTCGCCTCTTCGCTTCAATTAACAGCTTAGTGGATCTCAGTGGAGAGTAGCTGCAAATTTAGTTATCTGAATCTTATATCCTTCAGACTCAGTGAGCTTAAGTGATTGGGCCGTGAACAGAGCCGGTGTCGAAATGGATAGCTGTGTCCCAAATAATAATGCTCTCTTTGCTCAGGCCCACAGCTTCGACTGAAAAATTTCAATGACAAAATGTAAAATAACCAGTTTCCTCATTCCATGGAAACTGTACGCGTACTACGTGACGCCCTCGAGATGGACAAGCATTATTTCGAACATTGTTAGTACTGACAAGACGGGCCTGTTCGTCAGGCTGTCTGTTGGCTACCTAGCCAATCGACCGGTGGCGAAATAAGCAAGCTTGCATCGGACGAATGGGCAGTCGTAGACCGCTGACGCTACTTCATGGACGCAGAGGGCACACCTAGTCGACTCAAAACGCGGCAGTCAGGTGATTTGACGCCGTCAACTAACGTAAAGCGCATGGTTATAATCCGTGATTTTGAGAAGCAGAAATTACATTTTGGCGATCCTGAAAGGTTATATTAGATAAACTATCACGAAACCTGCATCCCAGGGGAGACACACGGCTGGCTGAACTTCGGTTGTGTTCAGTCTACTGAGTTACCAGGTTTCCAGGGGTAACAGTATGAGTCCCGTTGTTCCTGGCTCGTATGGTAAGCCCAGTTGGGTCCGAGGTAAGGTTTCAGCGGATTTTACGGCAGAACTCTCACGTGCAGATGAACCCGGCTACGTTTTGTAATTCTGAAAAGCATTACTTGCTTTTCGATGATAGACCAAGGGTACTAAGTCACACAGTGAGTTGACGCTCACTCAGGGACAGAGAGAACATGTGAGCATCGAATTTCGCAGTCTTTACAATGCAAATGGTAGAGCGCTCGACTGAAGTTTATCAGGTCAGAGGCCGGAAAAGGTTCTAGAGCGAAAGTTCTCTGGTCTTGTGATATGGTTGTGCGCGTGGTAATAAAAATCGCCGGGACCAGACGAGCTTGCCTGTCGCTGCTGCCCTGCTGTTAGACCACCGAACCCAAGCGCTAGAGTTGACGACCTCACACAATTTGGGATGCTGTTTGGAACTGGCGTGCACTCGAACTTCTGTATGAACTTTAAGCATCAAATGTTTGAGAGTACTACTACCTGTTGGAACCGACGAGACCAACAACAATAAACCAGTGATTCGACTGGATTGCGTTTGAGCCGTAAGACTTGAACGGACGTCGCGCTGTCCGACTGTTCTCCGATACTGAGAGGGCGGAGAGGGACACGTTAGAAAACGCAGGCTTTTGTGGTGCGACGTCTTAATAACTGCTTAAGATGCCGGTTTTCGCAAAAAAGTGGCGGAGCTGAACTACGTGAGGACTGCATGCATGTGCCGTGGTGCAGAGATTGATCACATCTCCGGGGTTTTAACACTCAGTAACCTTTGTGTCCCAGATGATTGTACTCGCACCAGAGTTGTGCAGACGCCAGTCGTGTCCCGTACCCGGATACTCGTTAATACGTATCCATCTATGCCCGAAACCGTGTCTTCTCATAACCGCAGTGAGGGAGAGAATGGTTCTTTATAATTAAAAAAATAAGGTGAGGTGGGATGTACAAAAAGCGGCTCTGAGGGGTTGGCGTAGGGGACTGAGGGGGTTCAGTGAGCGATAGGTTCAGGCTTGATGCAACTCGGTGCAGTCGGCACAGAGATATTGGAATACGACAAAAATACAGGATAAAACACGAGAAAAGTCCATTTAAAAGTGGATATCTGTAGGCACAAAGCCTGCATTTATAAGTGATTGGACAGCTGATGGGAGGGATATATCAAGAAGTTTAGGCTTTAGGCTGGCAGAGCTTGCTTCAACATTCAACGGCACGGTCAGAGTCACCCAGTCTTTCGAAGTTTCCAACAGACTTGCCGCCTCCAGGCGCCTGCGTTTACTGCCCCGGAGGGCGCTGTCAAAAAGGGAGGTATTAATGTAGGCATGCATATCCTTGTTCTACTGTTGAAAATAGAGAACACCGAATAGGTAGCAATAAGACCAGAGAAAGAGAGGAATGAGGAAGAAGGCAGGAAAGGTTGGGGATAGGTCAGAAAGAGAGAAGCAGAGAGAGAGGGAGGTAGAGAGCGAGAGGGAAAACCGAGGGCGGGATCGAGCGCAGGTGGTTAGCGCGGCGTGAGCCTACCCATAAGCGCGACAACACACCCATGTGTGACATTTGTTGTGGGTGCACATTTGCAAGAAGCCCTGCCGTGCCCTGATTTGGCTCCATGTTGGTCGAGCGCATCTATACCGTGGTCCGTTTTCTACGGGCGCTAAGAGCATATCAATTGCTAATTGACAAATGTGCGGTAATAAGTTGTTCAGAGATGGTCACAGACCGAGGGATCGAAAGTTGCATTATAAACTACATTCGCTACCACCATGCAGGAGCACTGCATGGGAATGGATAGGACTTCTGGGCGACGATAGGGCAGATAAATACGTTCTGACTATCCAGTCCAACTGGTCCCACCTTACTGACATTGTGAATCCTACAGCGCCCAGTGCGCAAAGATCAGAGGTTAGGAGATCAGCGTGAAAATAGCAGAGGCATAGAAAGGAGGGATAAGAGGCCAAGATAAAGGCTATAAGTTCAACAAGATACCCCGCTTTGGAGAATTCCTCCATTTCTTCATAGAGGTAGTCAGGGATCGGAACTCGCTTGATCTTCTTCGGAGGAGCGACATTCAAAGAGAGTCTAAGTGAGAAAAATAAAAATAGAAGAGGATACACGATATAAACATCACTAGAAAAACAAGCAGGAAAGGGTATGGAGATTACGGTAGGGTCGTGCGCCGATCCTATACGAGCGGCTCTTTCGGATGAGCAGGAAATATCATTATAATTGAGGGGGGGCCTCACGAAGAAGCTCTTTGGAAAAGTACATTAGGCGAGCATGGTCTCACTGCAGGTCGGAGCTTGTCCTTTTGTGGCTACATGAGCTGGTCCTGTGGCGCAGAATGCGCGAGGGTGCCTGATGCAGCTAGGACCATAGCAAGCACAAGAAATGAAGAGGACGAAGGAATACGGATACAAGAGTCAGAACGAGAATGCCCTATAACAGGGCTTTATTCATCTTACAATTGATGTACTGGGATTAAAACAAGAAATAGAAAAGTAGGGTTGGATACCAGTGTCGCAACACTCCGTTACTGATGCTAGTATTATTGCAGTTAGTTACCCATACTGTAAGCGTTGGTAGAGTAGCATTGGCAGCCGTGGTGGCGGTGGTAGTAGTAGTTGTACTAATAGTAGGATTATTAGTAGTATTCGCCGTATCAGTGGTGGTAGACGGGGGAAAAAGTTTTCTTCAGTGTTGCGACACTGTATTCCCGCCAGTGGTAGTAGTATTAGTAGTAACAGCGGTAGTAGTAGTAGTAGTAGTAGTAGTGGTGGTGGTAGTAGTAGTAGTAGTATTAGTGGTAGTAGTAGTAGTAATAGTAGTAGTAGTAGTAGTCCGCCCGTAAGACAGGCTGGTGGGGGAATAGACAATTCTAAGTGTTGCGACACTGTATTCCCGCCAAAAGTAGTAGATAAGATGGAATCTAGCTACGGTCTTATGTTAGCATGGCAGTGCCTGAGAGAGATGTTCTTGAAGAACTGACTAGCTCATACGAAGTTCTCAGTGGCCGAGCTTTCATGGGCATCAGCAGGCGCATACAATATCCCTAAGCGGACGATCAACATTTTCGCTGACAGACAACAGTGCTGAAGAAGGAGACACGATCGCCAGGACAAGAGCTTTATTAACCTGACGTTTCGGATTCCTACTCGAATCCATCATCAGAGACAAAAAAGCAGAAACGGGTGCTTGCTGCACAAGGGGCTGCGGTATTTATAGGATGCCGTAGCCATGCTACCGCATACCTATGAACATTCACGGCTCCCCCCTTCATCCGGGATCGTCGCACTTGGTGTGATCACTGCTCGATGGCCGACATTCGAGTCGATAATTGCTGCAATTTCATAACGTGCGTTGGATGTTGGCGTGATGATTGCTCGACCATCTGACGCACCGACCCCGGTGTTGGGAAAAGTGTTCACCTCTGCGCTCCCCGCATGGCTTGCTACTCAGCCTAGGCGAAGTTTTAGCACGCAGTATGGAGTGGGAAGATCGTTGCACTTGTTGATGGACTGGGGGCCAGTAAACCATGATTCCAGTAGCTCCCGGCTCACGCGGTTGTCACCTCTTGCGAGAATTTCGGCCTCATCGAATTTGAATGTGTGGCCGAATCTCGTCGAATGAGCCGCAACTTGAGAGCTGGCGTCATTTCTGCGCACCGCTGCCGCGTGTTCGGCCATTCTCGTTCGGAGCTGTCTTCCGGTTTCTCCGACGTAGTTGCTTTGTCCGCAACTGCACCAGATCCGATAGAGCGTCCTTATACTCTATCGGCGTGTCGAAACGCACTGCAGTGAGCCGGAAGACAAAATTGCCGAACTACAATACCTCCGACGGGTCTTCAAAGCCAATGGCTACCCGCGCAAATTCGTCGACCGGTGCATACGCAAAAGGGACGAAAGGCCTAACCGCACGGACCCCAAATTTTGGCGAGCACTTCCGTATGTCAAAAACGTTTCGGAAGCTGACGGCCGCCTTCTCGCACCACTTGGGGTTGGAGTGGCACACAGACCGGAGGCAACCATCAGGCGTCTGGTCATGAAACCGAAAGACCCACT